AAATTATAATAATTATCCAATGCCATTGGTGGGCCCGTTTATGAAATAATGATGAAACAGTCAGATATCTGATGACAACTCATGGATGGATACAAATACGATAGCATGGCCTTTTAGCTCCTCTGCATTACCATTTCTTAACTTCCAGTCAGATTGCGTTAACTTGGCGTCACTTTAACCTCCGTCTATATGTGATGCTGCCTCACGCTGCCCTACACGTGAATAGCGCTCTTGTCAAACTTTGCGGCTGTAGCTGCATTTCATCGCCCTCTCTCCTCCCCTTTAGCAGGCTCCCATCCCATCCTCCCATCTTGTTTCGCAGTTTTTGCGCTGGAGGAACGGAGAGTGGGCTTAGAAAGGGGAGGTGAAACTAGGTCTGAACAGTGAGGCTCCAAATGGTTTCGTACTTAAGAGCTTCCTTTGGCCAGATCCTTACAGATCAAAACGTTGCCTTGAAAAAGGAACTACGTAAAGGATGTAAGGGGATTCCAAAGAAATGGAATATAATGTACAACTATGTTTAACTATGTAGAATGATCTGATACCAAGAATCAATTAGTATTTGTTGTGGCTTGGAATCAGGCCACTAGATGCTACTCAATTCTCTTGCAAAAAGAAATATACTATCTGAAAACGAATGTGTATTTGTCTGGACGTACTGGTGTCTTGGTCTTGAGAAAAAAAAGCATTTTACGGATATATGGTGGCTACTGAAACATTTAATCACTGTGGTTGCTGCTATGCGAGATCCTTCCAGACAAAACCAAATGGACCAAGACCTGCCGCCCCCCCCCGTCCCCCTAAGTTACTGTTGCAAATTCTAGGCGGGCCTCTGGCTGCGAGCAGCCCACCCAGACAGACACCATGAGGTGTAGAGCTCCGTTCCTGGCAGCAGCAGCAGCAGCAGCTCTCCACTTCCTCCAAACAGGAGCCGAGCATGGCCGTGATGCTCCGCCGGGCGGCGCTTAAAGCCGACGCCTCGCTGCTGGAGGCCCGGGCCGTACTGCAGGATGAATGGGAGAACCAAAACCCAGAGTGGGCAGACTGTCAGACCCTGCTGCAGCAAAGTAGGGTTTTCTAAAGAGGGACTCTGGTGCTCCAACACTGCAAAAGCGTTTGTTTGTTTGTAATGTGACGTACATACTAGTGTTACCTTTGATCAGAGGTAGCATTACTAAATATTACAAGAAACATCAAGCTAGGGTTCTGTCAAGTTCCATGCTTTCTAAATTAGAGCCCATTGCAAAAAGAGGAAGGATTTAAGATGGGTCGGTTGGGCAAATCTGACAGAAAATCCCTTCATTTTACATTAGCAAATAATGTAACCAACCAAAATGAGATCACAAGATTTAAGCTTTTCGTCACCAATAAAACCTTCTTTTGAAAGAGATCTGATCCTCAGGCCCTATGTTGTTGAGAGGGGAAATTCCAACTCATTCACCAGTGATATAGCCTGTGTGAAAGCCTCAGTGTTTCCACTCTACGTTTTTCTACCTTCTTATGCTTCCAGATGTTTTATCTATCTGCAAAACGTTGAGGGTCGTTTCTTCCTGATAATTATTGTGAACACGTTTCAAAGAACTTCCGCATGCTCCCAATATCAACGAAGGAAAGTGCTGGCAGTTGCAGCAGCAACAAAAACACCGCGTGAGTGTGGACATTACTTGTGTGTCCACAGACACAAGTTCAGCGATGCACCCGTCACGCTCTGCTCACACAGGCAGTGTAGTGCGGGCCCCGAGTCGCTTTCTCATACCGAGAGGCTTTTACGAAAAGGTGTACCGAAAACTGGAGCTGCACAACGTGTATATCCACAACGGGCCTGAAACGACACAGTGTGATGGGATCACAGACACAGACTGCCGGTCATTGGGAGGTCAGTCTGGAGAGTGGAAGTGGTGCACAATGCCAAGCGTGCGTCGCTCTCAGCGTGAGGCCGCTGAGGAATGTAACACCTTGAGTGGGTGTGTGTCGGCGTGCATACACCTACAAGGATCACCAGGATTACGGGAAGCAGGGCGTGCTGACCTGAGGCAAGCCTGTGGATTATTCTGGACCCAATCAGGGTGGATTGTCCCCGTGAGCAGAGGAGAGGGTTCAGCAGCAGGATGACCGACCCTGAACCAAACCCCTGCTCCCAACCCTACTCCCCTACTTGTTCCTGTTGCCTCCTCAATGACCACGATTCATTCATACGACATGGGCTCATTGCCATGGCCTCTTATGTGTAACAGACACTAGAGCGGCGTGGATCCCTCCCGGTCGGGTTTTTGTAAGGTCACCACCCACTCGACAACTGAGAGAACACTGTATCAAAAAAGGTGAAGGTTTAATTGATATGGTGACCTTCCATTGGTACTTTGCGTACAATTGGCAATTAGTTTAACCTTGGGAATAATTTTGTCCACCCGTTTCTTGAAAATGTGGACAGGCTTGGCTGGTATCTTTTCAAATTGCAATCATAGCGTAAAAAAAGAGGGAAATAATCTGATCTGATCGCAGGTTTGTTCCACTAAAGTCAATGCCATGGTCTAACATATGTGATCTCCTTCTCTTCTGCACTGTGCAAGATCTGCCAGCCATCTTTGGCTGTACACTCATCAGTGGCTGAGGGGGAACATGGGTTACATAACTAAACAAAGACCAATGTGGAGAACACATCAGAGCCCCAATGAAGGCAGGCTTTGGGTGACCTGAGGTAATTCAACATTTGTAAGCAGCAACACAAACTAATGCAACACACAATTGCGTCACCCCTTTATAATTACATTAGCACTGGTATGTTTAAGAGCTTCTACTGGGAGAGGCCTTTTACTTGTTTCCAGCCTGCCTGCAGAGGCCTTGGACACATTTCCTGCACACTGGATAATCAATTTGCTACCCCTCTGCCTGCAGCCCATCCTCGACAACCCGCCACGCATGGTGAAAAAGAGAGAGAGAATAAGGGGGGGGGGGGGTATCTGGGGGAGAATACCCTGCCCTTGCCCCCCAGGCTTTTGCTTTCTCTGTGCTGCGGACACATACGCCCTTGAGTGACCAACAACAATAAGGGGAGTGTCACAGCCTCGTCCACACATCTGCCTAACACCTACAAGTTGACCAAAAACACACACCCGCGCTTAGTTTCATTAAAATGACAGAAAAAAAGCTACCAATCTACCGACAAGTAATAGCCACCTTTCAAGCACATTGAGGAGTCCTTGATACTCAATAGAAAGATGTTTACTGGCCGACGACGTGAAATTGTGATGAGTCATAGATTGATAAGAGAAAGAATAATCAAGGGAATTTGTTTCTGGATAATTATACATTCATTTAATAGAATTAATTGGGGAATTGCTCTCACCTGGTAGTCGTGAAAAGTAAAATACATACAGCCAACTAAAGCGAATTACTCACTTGTCAAAATAAAAACTAAATTACATATTGTGATCAATATTTTGTGTGTGACCATCAATTACCATATTGTGAAAACCTTGACAAACTACTGCTGGATAGTTTTGTTTAAGATTTTTTTTTAAATGGCCCACGAGTGGTAGTGTTCAACCTCAGAGATTCCTAACGAGACAGCATTCTCAGCATGCCATCTGCATAGATGAAGGGAGAGTATGGCCGCCTGCCAGCCTCCCTCTCTGCTCTGCAACCTGCCCGTGTGATCGGAGCTAGAGTCGGCAGTGCTGCAGCCTCCTCTTTACCCCCCCCCAAAACACTGCATATTCCACTGCAGTTCGGCTAAGAACCACGAGTCACCCTCCAGCACCTTCGGGTGACATTGGCATAATGAAAAACCCAGGGATATGTAGTAAAAAGTACTAGGGATTTGACACGAAGCGTCTCTTTGGTAAAGCCGGAGAGATAAAGGGCAAGTGAGCCATAACCGGTGTAGGAACACTTGATCTTATGGAAGATTCATAAAGGCTTAGTATAATCAGCGCCGGGTAAGACGGGCAGACGGAGCTCGAGGAAAATAAGAAGGACTGCTGCAAGGACTGGTTGGAGGGAATCACACCCCGTCTTGTTACGAGGCCATTAAACTTTTCCGTACTAGTGTCGGGCGGATTGTGTTCATGTGTCCGCTAAAAAAGGGACGTACGGCACAACCATCAGTAAGGAAGCAGCTAGCGCTTCACTGCATCTGATGACTCACAAGTAGAAAGGTTGAATCACAAGACTACAAACCACATTTAAGTCCTCCATTGTAGCTTCTCCTCCTCTAATGTCCATAAGCAATACGAAACTAACTTCGCAGCCCTATTTTCACACATTTCTGCACATGTGACTAAAGCCAAGGATGACTAACACATGAAACTGCTGATCCTCAATAAAAATATGGAAGCATATCTAATCTGTACAACATCCCTCTTCCTCCCTTATCCCGTTACTATGTTGTCAAAGGTTACACAAATCGGGGGACAACTGCATAACCTACAAAATGACTTAAAGCTTTCCATAATGTCGGAAGGTTTCGTAACTTAATACAACAAAATAAAAAGCAGTAACCATTGCAAATGATTGACTTTTGGCCATGAATGGTATATATACACTGTAAAAGTGCTTTACAACCGTTGTGTACACCAGGAGATAACACAATCATAACCAAAGTAACAGACATATCTAGTCTAAATCCCTGTGTGATGAAGCCTTAATGAATCGAAGGCATTAGCGGGCCAGTCCGCGTGGTGACCCCCGGGTCCCCCAGTGTGAACCAACTCAGCGTTTCACACACACACAGACTCCTAAAGGCATGCAGGCCCCTTCAGAGGAGGAGGAGGAGGAGGAGGAATTTCACTCTGTAAGCCTTTTATTCTCTTTCAGGCTGTTTGTCCCCAACCGTCCACTATTCAGTTTGCTCATTCTCCTGTTCTCTGCCAAGGGCCCCAAAGGAAGACCACGGGAGTGCATGCGTGGGATATCAAACGTCCCCCCCAAGCAAGCAGGGCTAAAGATTCAGGGGACCGTGTTTGGTTGCGTGTATGTGTGCGTGCCGGTGGGCTACTTACTTGTAGTATTGCCTTGCATCTGAATGATACATTTTGACTCCTTGCCCATCTCCCTGGAGTTGAAAGGCCGTACTCGGACGGCAACTTTTACAGAGGCCCCAGACATGTTTGCGGGTCAGTAGAACTCCTTGTGTATGTACCTCCTAAACGGGAAAAAAAACACAGAAAATGTGATGTTTGCATTAGTAAAAGCCATTGGGTGAATTAAAAAAATGGCCAACAACACATAACGCAATGAAAGTCCACCCTCCAATGTCCAGTCATAACAGCGTACAACAAACATGGCCGACCAGAACCACCAAGGCGCCGGAGTATTTTGTAAACAGCAGACACATAACGGTCAGATAAATAAAGGATGACAGGGAATGCCTATAAATGTATCAATACATGCTAAATACACCTTTTACGAATGCAATAAAAGTTTATTATATGCAATGATTGGGCTGCAAAAACATTGCATGTTTTATATGTCTAAATAACTTTGCAGCGTGTCTTATCCGAGCGGTAATTGAATACATCCCCCCTGCCGCGGCCCGGGACCACACGAGCCTCACAAGTCGTGTTTCTTCCACGTCCTTGCAGTCAGCCATACTTGCCAACGCATACGCCCATGACATTCTATAGCTACCCTGTTTGTGTGTGTGGGGGGGGGGGGTAGTTACAGTGGGGCAGAGAGCCGGGCCGTCCGTCGTCATTCTGCTCGGGCACACGGCTTAATTTTCCGTTTTTAGAAATGAGATTCGCCGATGTTAGGGAAGTAGGCTAATCCCCCCCCCCCCCCTTTCCTCCTCCTCCTCATCGCTGCTGTATGTTGTGGAATCGCACAGGGAGGAGTTGCACGCTTATTCTAGAAGCACACACCGACCCAATGTCCTAGGCGCAACCTGGTCGGGTTTCAGGATTTTAACACGTTTAAATCCAGAGGAGCCGAGGTGTTATTGGTCGTTTTAAGCTAGCCTTAGCGCTTAGCATTAGACGTTAACGGCTTTGACTTCGGTCCGCGGCGGCAGACGGAACCAGCGTTGAGCAACCTCCGCTGTCTGTCCCACGGACACAACTATTCAGGCACAGACACGGAGTATAATACTATTAGACAGGTAAATAGCACACGGTTAGAGCGTAAACTGGTGTCGGAATCAGGGCTATCTGGCGTTTACATTACGTGTGATTAACGTTAGCTATAACTGCTCACCAACAACTGCCTGCAATGCATCCGGTGTTACAAACTCGTTCATCACAGACATTCAGAATATCAATTAATGCATCGGGTTGTTTTTACTCACGTCTGAAGACTCTCACCAAGACGGCACCACAGGACAGTGGCGAGAAAAACCCCCACTAAGGTTAACTGGCGAGCGTCAAGGTGTGTGTGGCTTTTAAAAATCAAAATCCACGAGCAAGGAAACTGTTATGAAGTCTACTTTGGTGAAAAACACCCATTATAGCGGTATCCTTCACCAGATGGACTTGTAATCGCAATCAGTTGCTGCTTGGCGAGTTTATTTTCCAGTAAAGGTACGAGGCGGACGCCTGCACACAAGCGAAAAGAATTGATAGATTGCCTTGATTTAGCGAACAGATTACGTCAACTCCCTCTCGGTAACCATGACCGACGGCCGGGATGGCCAATGGAGGGGAGGCAGCGGTGACTAACGTGTCGCTGAGCCAGTGGCGATGCTCGGAATCGGAAGGGCGGGGGGGAGTGGGTGTGGTCTCTTTTCTTTGCCGTGACGCCACACTGCAGGATTTCTACCCACCGCTCCCCACAGTGCTGTCACCGCAACACCCAGGGTCACCGCAAAGAGCGCCTTCTAGTGACAAATGGAGCCTGTCACATCTGCCCAGCTTCTGAACTTCACAATGTATACAATCATATCTGGTCTTTATAACCACATCTGCATGTAGATGTTCTACTTGGGTGCAATTCACTTTCGTCTGGAATAGGCTTCTGCAATACGTTGTGCAGACTAGCTTCCAGACTAACGAAGGATTACTTGTTTTTTTCCAGATAAGCAGCTAATAGTTTATACACATTGTTTACATTTTACCGATACAATTGGGACAGTCGCCAAGTTTAATCCATCAGTTTTTAAAATTTACAGTAGAAGTCAGCCTATGCATTTTGGCACATAACAAAAATCAGTTGATATTCTTTGCACCTTGCAAATGATTCATGATTCTTACAGTATATAATCTGACATTTTGTATTTACGAGTGACGTAAAGTCGTTTATTTCATATGGTCAATTATGACGACCTAGGCCGAAAAGGACTGAACAAAATCACTTTGGCCTCTATCTGAAAAAAAACAGTGACGAGTTGTGAATTAATGTGCATCATCATTTATTTCAGTTCAAAATCCTAGCTTCCAAAACAAGTACGTGGTTTAAGGAAATCATTTGCTGTACAGTTAAGGACAGCAAGGTAACGTTAAGTACAGTGCCATTTGATAGAGACCGCCTTCCCGCGAGACGTCAGTGTTTCTCAAGAGCAGACTTTGTATTGCGCTCCTATGATGGTGTTTCTGGTGGACATGCTACATTCTCTCATGTTCCTTCCATTTCACCTAGAAGGTTATTTGTCCATCAGGCGCTTAGGAGCTTCTGGACTTGAGGCCATGCACACGCAAGAAGTAAATTTCATCTATTTAAGTCAGCTGGGAAAATGAGACTAGAGAGGAACATCTCAACATACTGTTTTGGTAATTCACTGTTTCTTCCTACTGTACTCAAAAGTAAGCTGACATTTAGGATTAGTTGACGTTAAGCTACATCCTTAATGGATATTTCCTGTTGCGAACTTTGTCTACAAGCACAAACTGTGCACATGTTAGCTCTGGGAAATTATGTGGACTCGAGCTCACCACCGTCAGTCTTCATAATGAAATCGCAGGGATAGCAATTTTATCAGAACCCGACCACATTCTCCCAAAATGTTTTGCCCTCCCCTTACCCTAAACTCATAAAGTGTTTAATGAAGCAAACAGAGTATTTCCAAATAAAGGGAGAACTATAAAGGAAAATAATTGATGAAGTGGCTCTATGCACCTCGCTGGTAAACCGGTTGGTTGTGGAAACATATTCTTGCAGCACTATATTGCATTAACTAACTTTTGTTAAATATATGTATATATTTTGTTATAAATATACACAAACTCAAGAGAAAAAAAACTTAAAAGTCTTAACTTTATTATATTTTTGTTTTTCGACCATAATGGTTTGAGACAAAAAGGGTAAATGCAAATAAAATTCAAATCAGGTTTCTTTTCTTTTTTTTTTCATTCAAATGTTGTTGTTTTTTGTTGTTGCCGTTAGTTGGGACGCTGAATTCAGGCGATTTAGACGGCTCTCTTAATGATGGTTAGCAGGCCCAGACGTTAGTGACGTGGTCCTCAGACAAGCCGGCCGCCTTGTTTTTCTCTCATCCAGGTATGGATCCTCTCCTTCAGCTCAGGCACTGCAGAATTAACAACAGATGGTGAGGACCAAACAAACAACTGACATTCGTAAGTTTCAATTTAGGTGTCCTATAGTCTCTTGCCGTGAATCTAAAAACGACATAGTTGCTGTGTTGCGGAGTTGATTTTTACTCTTGCCTACTTTGAACAGTACTACATACGTAACTACTGATGAAATGTCATGCTGGTGGGTTTACCGGACTCCAGCATGCTCTCTGTGAGTGGCTGTCTGTTGAAGGGATCAGTGGGGGAGTTAAGCAGGTGGCGCAGGATGATGGATCGATCCATTATGTTGCCCGAAGGCAGAATCACAGGGTCAGTCATCAGCGTGTCCATCAGAGGGTCTGTTGTAATAAAGACAAGACGTACATCTTAGAGACAGTAGGAACTTCAGACTGTGGAAAAGCAAAAGCCAAAAAGGTTTCAAATGAAAATCCTAAATGTGAGTTTTACCGCTTTCATTAAAGTGAAAAGCTCATGTCATATTTGTTTTTTTCTTCTCAAATAGAGATGGAACAGATATAATATGCTGCTTCTTGTGTTTGAACGTGGCCATTGTGGGCGTTAGGGTTCTTTTCTGGCTTTTGTAGTGGTCTTTGAATTAAGAATGACTAAAACTAAAAAGCTGTGGTTGTTTTGAGAAATAAACCATCCCACAAAATTAAATATGGCTTTAAACATTTGTGACTTGCTAAAAACCCAGCAGCTGGAATTGGCAAACACTAAATAATATATCAAATAAATACTCAATGACAGCTCTTGATAGTGTGCCCTATATTGAAATGTCACATGGTTACAGTAGGACCCATGTGTTCCAAAAATAAAACCTGGCGTGGGAAATTTCAACCACGGGGAAAGACGATACTGGAGCCTCCTGTACGGCACGCTCCAGTTGACCGTGGTGGGTTGGCTGGCATATCAGGGAATCAAGGGAGGTATGTGGGCCACGTTCTCTTTGTAGATCATATTAAGACCGTAGTTACACGGTATCCTTCCTCTAAGCCGTCAGGATGACCTTTATGAGCGCAGAAGCCGCTGCATATGTGTGGAATTCAGCAGTGAATGAGGCTGTTGAAGATCCTGTTTGTCTGCACTGACTGACCTCACACCGGGTTTCTAGGCCAGTAAATTTCTCTTTTTAGGGCCGAAGATTCTGTGACTTGGTACATCATAAAAACAATAAACATTTGCATTTAAAATGTAAGAGTCAACTTGATCGATGTTCAGTATAATGCTGCTATAAGCAATATGATCACATGTCACGATTCCAACTAATTACCTAAATTTATTGAAGCCTCGGCCTCTAATGTTGGCGACTATTCAGAAAGAGTTAGTCCAGATTATTCTTGATATAACTCAATTCCACTGGACATACAAAGCAAAAAATGCAGGTGTGATGCTCAAACACCGTGGAGGAACACACACAGATACACACACACACACCTTTGAACTCGTCAGGTGCGTCGCTGTAGTCCATTTCAGATTGGGAGTTCTTGGCCACTATTTCCTCCACCTTTTCCGATAGTAGCTTGAATTTTTCAATGGCGATAGAAGACTTAATACCAGCCTTCTTCATCTTTGAGATCACCTCTTCGAAGAGCTCTCGACTGTACGACCGCTGCACACAGAGCAAAACCAGGGAACATTTATTAGGGAAGCGCATCTTTTGAGGGTACTGCAAAAAATTCACTACCGTGTGTAGTTTCTTTCTACACACAAGACCTTTCCATCGGTCTCGACAGTGCACGTAAACAAACTGCAGCCGGGTTCCCCAAATTATTCTCTCTGATACACAATTATAAGGGTAAATTAGAAGATTTACGGGTACGTGACCAGAACTTTATCATTCAAAGTATTCTCTGTTAACGTATCCTGCAAATAATTAACAAACTTCCCCGCCGCCGGACTAATAATTAAAAAGAATGAGTTGACATGAAATACCACTAACAAGTCATTCAATTAGGCGTCGTTCAACAATTCTAAAGGATGCAGTTACATCAACACGTTACTGTGCATGCTTGAAACGTCACACATTAAAACTGAATTTGGTCACTAATTGCTTCCTACTTGCATGATTTGGGAAGAAGTGGGTATTCATTCAAACTGGGTGAACCAGCATACTACATACAATAGAGTAATCCATGCTGATGTCTTCAAGGCAATGATCTAACACAATCAGCAAGTATTTCTTACAAAGTAAAGGGTAATCTACCAACCTGGTCATCTGCAATGGCTTTAGCGAAGCGGGCACAGTCCAGCTGTAGGTAGATGTCGGTCAGCTGGTCCAAGAGCTTCTTGGGCTCAAAGCCATACTTCTCAGGGTTCTCCACCTTCAGGTCCCGACACTTAGGCCCACAGAGCTGCTGGAGGTTGAAGTTTAGCATCGCAGCTAAACGAGGCCCCAGCTCCTGCAGGAAAAAAACAGGCACCGTTTAGAACAACTTGTTGGGCTCAGTGTCTAATTGAGGCGGATAAAGCTTCCCTCATACAGATGTGTTGTTACTTGGAATAGACCGCCATTCAAAAAGACATCAAGATCAAGTGACAACATTAAAATTAAATGTCCAGTGGGGGCAGAGACACTCACAGGCCTGAGGAAAGGCTTCTGAACCTGCTTGGTGAGGATGTGGAACATTTCAACCGTCTCTGTGGCCAGGGCCAGATAGGAGCGGGACACCCGCTCATCCTGAGTCAGCTGCGACTGCCGACTCTGCTGCTGCTCCTGAAAGTTTGCAAGTCAACAAACACTATTATTCTGTTCGGAGTTACATTCCTAGCTCTGCAGAAATATGAGTGAGGTAATAATATGTTCCAAATACTGCTTGATTTTGTGTGTGCGGCTTCAATTTAACACATTACTTATTAAATATTGCGTTTCATTGGTGGACTAGGGTCAATTATAAATGCATGGTAAATAAATGGAGCTCTGACCCTGGGCAGCTGTTCCCACTGCTCCTTATTCTTCATCTCTTCTTGAACTTCGTGGATACGCTTGAGAGACTCAAGGCTCTCATCTAACAAGAAGGTGGTGTCATTAATCAGCATGTTGATGTAGCGCACAAACTGCTTGCCAGAGCTAGAGGGGGGAGGTAAC